TTAATCGTCATTTAAATTCGATTTGAACACTTTCTCGCGCTTTCGGGGCGAATTCAAAGAATGCACCTTATACTGTGTCGTCTGCCATTGTTCTAAGGCTATTTTCATGGATTGACTCATTTATTGGGTGCATTTCCAGACGTTTCGCCAACATTCCAGTAGGTATCATTAATGATCAGTGCTATATTTAGCACCAAGATAACACGCTTTTAAAAGGATCTGTAAGACAACGTTACGATGAAGTTAGAATATGCAATACGGGGTAAGTTCTTAGAATCCTTCCTTGAGGCACGGGAAGTTGTAAAATGGGGTCCAACCGACTATATTAATCCTAAGGCAAATGTGACCAAACTAAAGTCTGCAGGGTTTAAGATAGATAGTTTTGAAACTATCAGTACTTTTTGGACACGAAGGTAGTTGCCATAGGTCAGTTGTAGATATTAAAATTGAGTTTTTTAATAATGAGATTCGTAGACTTTACGATGCCATTCAATTTCCTGTAGACTTGCTTACCAGATGGCTATTTTATTTTGGGTTGACTGCAATGTCGATCTCGCCTAGAGCCTATCTGTCTCTGCATCGTCTTAAGCGACCTAGTATGTCTAAGCTTATACTCAGGCATTACTAAATTCCCAAAATTTCCTATATTGAAAGTAAGTTATGTCGTCAATTTAAATGGTAAACACGTGTTTGCTTAATCGACAATTCCATTATAAAGTTGAGTTTGTTGGCTTGTCTTGAATGTCGCATCCGCCCTATGGCCCAAAGGCACTCATTGCCGTACAATAGAGTGGAGTGGTAACATCGCCACGATAATCACGATCCAGTATCGAGAACCGCTATGGGTGCAAATGAGACGACCTTAACGAAGTTGAAACAGCAGTTCAGGCTGGATAAATATACATTTTCTGAGACAAGGTTAAGTAAAATTCAATGGCATCGTGAGGCCTATTAATTTCACTGTGAGAAAACTCAACTATTTGTCCTTTATTCACTTCAAGCCACCTATGTTGACTAGGCACTTATTAAAGTCTACATATTCTTTGTCACCAGACCATGAATCAAAATTTTCGCTTGTGTTTCCAGATTTTTATAGTTTTTCTACATACTACTAGAACAGTAGTGATGTAATATTAAGTAAAAACACTCATTTGACTGGATGATGTATTGGTGATATTAATGTGTCGGGACCACTTTGTGTAATTCTTAGACCTCTAGTTCTCAATGCGAAAGTCCAAATATCCTGTGGGCCTGGTTATACTGGCAAGGCATGGTGGAATCTTGTTAACTTACCATATTTGGAAGCAGTTCACTAGCTATCTCGATCCAGTTCTCCTTCATGACACCACCAGGCATTTGTCGAATGGCTCCAATAACGTGATCCGCAGAGATTTCGCCACCTATTTGCTCTTTGACTGTGCCTAATAGTTCCGTGATTGGTACCGAATCAAGCCCAAGGCCACAGGAGTGCATCTTCTGTGCCAGAGCCAGCACGACAGCCAGAATCGAGCGCAGCTGTTTACGTTGTCCTCGAGGAGACAGCAACTCTGTTGGAAGTGGTGACATTAATGCTGCCTTTACTGACTCTGCTGCCTCTGCTGCTTTGCTTGTCGTCGAAGACAATGTCGACAAAGGTTTGACTGTTGAGTCCAGAGGCGGGCAATAGGCCATATCGTGAACAGAGGTGGAGTGTGTAGAGTGTGCGGAAGACTGCTCTTCTTCCGACTCGGCTACACTAGAGGACATATGGTAGAGCCCAGACCGCTTCATGCCTAAGTTGGTCCGAGATAAGCCCAGAGCCTCTGTAAGGTGTTTCTTAAATTTTTCCTGTGAAAGTGAGCCTAATGGGTTATTTCTAATGGTTGACAAGGCGTATGAGTGTATGCGCATTAAAATTTGCGCACCAGTGTTTGTGTGAAAGGAATAGGGATTCGTGATTGCCAACGCATACGCATCATTTTGACTCTGATGAGGTAAGCGTTAAATAACAAAATGTTTTGGTGGAATTTCTTTGATTGCGTGCTCGTATATGTTGTATATGGAATTTCTTTTAAAGGCATTTCTATTAGTGTACCCGTGCACCGTTTCAGGCCTATGTTTGCGCGTGTTTGTATTGGAAAGAGTTTAGGCTTGTTTATGGATGTGGGTGTACGTAAATGTATGTTGAGGTGTTTGGGTATTTTATAGGCACTGTGTGAGGTAGGAAAAAAAAGGAATATGGAGAGCGAATGGTAAAAGAACAGAGAAGATGAGCTATTCTTATAGCATATATGGTCTAGCCCGTGGCAACAAAAAACCTAGTACAGAATTCTGGTACAGACATTAGTAACTAGTATGCTAGAGCCCTAAATTTGGCTGACGAAATAGACTTGAGTGTATAGAAGACGATGATACAGAGTTTAACTGAGTTAATATAAAAAGAATAAGCTTTGTTTAATGAGGAGTTTTATTGTCATAGGAACTAAAAATGATTAATTCATAAAATATATTTTCTATTTGCTGTTTTATGCTGAGCATACTAACCGGTAAATGATCATAAATTATCTGTTGAAATATCGACAGCTTATGTTGAATTCTATATATTTTCTATAAAGAACTATATATGGGGAGGTATGGAGACCAAGATGGTGTGTCCTTTTGTGTGGTCGCAGTCTCCTTTCGTTGTATAGAGTTTGTTTGACCTTGTTTTCGCAACATGGTCAT